CACACACATACATACACACACACACACACACACATACACACACACACACACACACACACACACATACATACATACATACATACACACACACACACACATAAACACACACACTCCTGCATCAAACAATGTGGATTTGAGCTGTGGTCAACCACAGAAAGTGAGACACTGTCTTGTATTGCTCTTTTAGATTGTTTCAATAAACCTTTTTTTGAAGCATACTTCATGGCTGTTGTTTTTGTTTCTTTTGTCTAATTCTTACAACATACACCGGCAGTGGCGTAGATTGTAACAAAGGCACTCCATGTATTTGACATCAACTTATAAGTGCTGTGATATTCTTACAGAGGTTTGAATTGGTGTCATTTGTAGTAAACAAATGTGGGTACTTTGTAGAAAAGTTTGAGCACCCTAGCTCAAAAATTCAGTGAGTTACAGATGCTGAAACAAAAAGTGTTTCAACCATACCTGGTCTCCCCCTACATTGTATGTTTTTGATCTGCTCTTTTACATGCAATAAAATGGACTATATTCCAAGCCGTATGATACTTTCTGTGAAAGAGACTCAAATGCAAGTTGTTATTAGCTGAAAATGTTGTAATGCATGAGTTACAAGGACTACATTCATACTTTGTTTTTGTTTTTTGTTTTTTTAAAGCTTGACACACTTATTCCTCATTAACTTCCCCCAATTTATATATTTTTATTCCTTATTTACTTGTTCTATTTTTTATTATCTGTGTTTTTTGTTCTGTCACTGTCATTCTGTTACACTGCGGAAGCTTCTGTCACGAAAACAAATTCCTCGTATGTGTAAACATACCTGGCAATAAAGCTCATTCTGATTCTGATTCTGATTAAGTTTCTGTGAACTGAATGATACCAGAATTATTATTCTGAGTGAACCTTTAAAGACAATTGCTCTTTCTCAATTTTTCTCAGAACTGAAGAAATATCTGTTGCTGATCATCACTTGTAATACTCAACAAAAACACATTTTGCAAGTGTGTCGGCAGCTTTAGTCAGCATTACCCTAAAATCTGTATAGGCTAATAACGATTGAAAAATTATTAATAAAAATCTAACTTTTGAGCCTTGAAACCATTACTGGAACCAAATTATTTATTGATTAAATCGTGTTTTAATTAATGATCAAATAAACATGAATTATGATTCATTTTGAATGATAATAGGTTTATAAATCAAATAAAATCAGATCGTTTGATGCTTATTCAGAACTATTAACAAGATTATAAAGAAATTGATTTGTGAAATAAACACCATTAGCAGCATAATATATGAGAAACTCCATTATAATTATATTACGTTTGTTGAGTAAAAATGCTCTATAATGCTTTCGCAATGGTGTACTTGCTACTGCCAAAAAAGCTGAACTGGAAAGAACTGAAGAAATCACTCTCTGCTCTGATTGGTTTGAGCCATTTACAAGCGCTGTCACACGATATCTGTTACTTTTCTCATCGCGGTTACGGTTTGACCAAATCATAGTCGTTTGTGATTACTAGGTAGTTATATAAAATATAATTTTACAGTTATGGCGGGGTTTAAATTTGAATGTGCATGCCACCAAACTAATCCATGCGAATAACTTATATAATAGATTACACTTTTTAGTTTCACAGTTTAGTATTAAAACAAAAACCTTCACAAGGTTTGAATGTCGTGCAAAGGCAATGGCTTTTAATGGGCCACCAAGCGGCCCCTACAGGAATAAAGATCCTGAACAATCTACAGCTGGAAGTGTTTACTGTAGTCTGGAAAAGAGAAGGAGGAGTGGATGAAAGGAGGAGGAGTGGAGGAGAGGAAAAAGCAAAACACTCAATGCTGTTCGCCATGTTGTGTTCAGCACACATGAGAGAATATAAGGACGCTTCTGAGGGTTTACACACAACGTTTAAACAGAAATGGAGCTGAAATCATCTGAAACCCCGCGGCGTCTGTGACTGATCCGGAATCATTCGCGTTTCAGAGGCGCATTAGGATTTAATATACAGTTTATCCGACACTCTGTGCATTTGATTTATTCTAGATGTTGCTTTTTTCGGATCTCAGTAGGCTATATTTAAACCCTGAGCTGGATTTATATTTCTGTGTTCTGGAATGAAGATGACTGTGATGATGTAAATCTTTAAAAATCATTTTTTAAAGCAACCAGAAGATCATATCGGGATGCTTTTGAACTTGTCTGATCCATGAATAGTAATTTTCACCATGCATATGGCGATGAACTCAAAATGCTCGCTGTTTCTGTGTGTGATCGATACTGATCGATATTAGCGCATGGGTTTCAGGGCACGCTGCTGTCACTTCCTAATACAGTATGATTGTGTTAATGTTTGATATTTCATCTATGCAAACAGAAACACACGCACTGACCTGCACACTGAGGATTTGTCAAATGAAATGGAGCTGAAATCATCTGAAACCCCGCGGCGTCTGTGACTGATCCGGAATCATTCGCGTTTCAGAGGCGCATTAGGATTTAATATACAGTTTATCCGACACTCTGTGCATTTGATTTATTCTAGATGTTGCTTTTTTCGGATCTCAGTAGGCTATATTTAAACCCTGAGCTGGATTTATATTTCTGTGTTCTGGAATGAAGATGACTGTGATGATGTAAATCTTTAAAAATCATTTTTTAAAGCAACCAGAAGATCATATCGGGATGCTTTTGAACTTGTCTGATCCATGAATAGTAATTTTCACCATGCATATGGCGATGAACTCAAAATGCTCGCTGTTTCTGTGTGTGATCGATACTGATCGATATTAGCGCATGGGTTTCAGGGCACGCTGCTGTCACTTCCTAATACAGTATGATTGTGTTAATGTTTGATATTTCATCTATGCAAACAGAAACACACGCACTGACCTGCACACTGAGGATTTGTAAAATCTCTCAAACACTAATCTCTCACAGACTTGCACATTGATCCGGACCTGTTTGCTCAGAAATAAACGCTTTTGGCAATATTAAAACATTAATTTTAGAGGGAGCGGATTATCAGTTTGGGTGTTGCTGGGATTATTTTTTTTTTGCAGTACAAGAATCTGCCCTGAAAATGAGGACAGACACCAAACTGGCCTTGGCCATATTCCTCGTATCCTGTTCATCAGGTGGGTAGACATTTCTGCATTATATCTAGTCTGATTTTAAATGTATTGCAGCCTGTTGGCAAGCACGCACACGTTTGACCCGCTGATCAAAGTCATTCTCCAACATCCCAAGACTTGATGCATCAATCCCACATGTCCTGCTCATTTATTTTGGCCCAAAAAAAAACATTTTTATATATAGTTTATATATATTTTTTTATAAATTGTATATATATCTAGATACGTAGATAGATAGATAGATAGATGTATACATTTGTTAAGCCTAGTCTTAAAATGTTAAAACATTAAGCCTATTTTAGAACCAGGTTTTTTAATTGTGACTGAATTTCTTTTTCTTTCTTTCTTTCTATCTTTCTTTCTTTCTTTCTTTTAAATAATAAACATTTTGTTTTATTTTTGAATGTAAATGTCATTACTGTAGAGTAAAATTCTATATGTAATAATAGATAATAGTTGTAAATAATACATCATCACATTACATTATATATATATATATATATATATATATATATATAATGTGTGTGTATATATATACTCACATATTTTTCG